AATCGCTGGAGAAGAACCACCATTACAAGAAGAAAACACCAATGAGATCGAGGAAGCTGAGGCAGAAATTGATGAGTTCCTACTCATTGATCCGCATAATCGTGAATACGAAGCTGTTCCTGATCACTCCACGGACGAAGGTGTAGACGACGAGTTTTTAGAAAATGATGATGTCTCAACCGATTACGACAATGTATCCAAATGAGTTATGTATGTTTATAAGTTTGTTTAATCACAAAAATGAATTTGCATTATACATGTTTTAAGTTTGTTAAATCACAAAATCAATTAGCATTTGGGGTTTGGGGTTTATGTGTAGAAGAAGTTAGGAGTTTGGGGTTTTTGTGTAGAAGAAGTTAGGAGTTTGGTTGTAGAAGAGGTTATAAGTTAAGGAAGTTGTGGTTTGGGGTTTGGGGTTTCGAGTTTAGGGATTTATAAACCCTTTCCTCGTAAAGCCCTAGTAATAGAAAACACGGGCATAGCCGTTTCCTCGTAATGTTCTAGTAAGGTGTTACTAGGGCTTTACGAGGGAAAAAACACGGGCATAGCTATTTCCTCGTAAAGCCCTAGTACAACCATTACGAGGACCTTACGAGGCAATAAAAACACGGGCATAGATATTTCCTCGTGAGGTCCTAGTAACGTTACTAGGGCTTTACGAGGAAACAAAATTCCTTATATATACTCGAGCAATCCGGTTTCTCATTTGCTAGTAACCTTCTCTCTAAATCCTCTAAAGGTTCTCTCTAATTCGTAGTTAGGTGATTAGATTAGGGAATTTAGATTAGGTGGTTAGTTTAGGTAATTTAGATTAGGTTGATTTACTTTTATTTAGTGTTTTTTTAAATTATACGGGGAATTAATGTATTGATTTGTTTTTTTTTTAATATAGATGCCTAGAAAGAGTAAGCTTGCTAAGGCTGCTGGTAAGAGGATGACGTCTCTCGAGGGGAGTCACTACGGAGATATGTTTGGGCGTCAGGATGCTCCGGGTTCATCTTCGTCAGCTCCCGGTTCATCTTCGATTCCCGAGACTTAGAGAGCTTCTACGGCGTCCCGGCAACCACCTCCTCCTCCACCACCACCTCCTCCACCACCACCTCCTCTGCCTCCTCCTCCATCGGTCGGGGTTCATCCCGATTTGCAGGTGCCGCCGAACGCACCCTTTGCGGTGTACACGGTGGAGGATATTTTGGCTCTTCCAGACAGAGAATGGCTGGCAGAGTTAGATCCTATCCGACGGGGAGGTCAAAACATATTATGGTATGTTTTAATTTTTAAAAAGTTTTTTTAATTTATTTCTTAATTAACAAAATATTTAGAAATTAATCTAATTAATGATTTATTTTGTGTGTTTCGAGGTTTGGTCTTGACAATTGTGTCGGATTAGCGTCACAGACTGTATCAAGGGATACTTTCCCGATCCAGCTCCAAACTGGAAGATGACGGTGAGCCACACAAAAAAGACGTGGTTCAAATCATTCGATGTAAGTTTAATTCGTTAATTTATTTTTAATTATTTAAAATTATTAATATTATTGTACTAATCCGTCTTTTATTTTTTCTGGTTACAGCAAAAATATCGTTGGTCTATTGGGATTCACCAGCAAGTGAAGAAGGAGTTTGAGGCCAAGGCAAGAGCACGATTGCTCGACATGGTCTACAACTGGAAGGGCGACTATTTGGTATAGATTTATAAATTTTAATATATATAGTTTTAAAAATATTATATATTGACTTTAATTCTAATTTTTTTAAATCAGGTGGATGGTTACGAGGCCGGGAAACCCGATTGCCTCACAACCACGGTGTGGGATGGCTTCATCAGCTATTGGGGGTTGCCGGACTCGCTCAAAACCTCCAACACAAACTCCAGGAACCGCATGACTAGAGACGAGCATGGCAACACAAAGGTGCTTCACACCACGGGTCAAAAACCTCACGGGGGAGTTCGTCTAGACATGGTAAGATGATTTTTAATAACCATTTAATATTTATTTTATTTGAATATTCCAAATTAATATTTAATTTTATAAATTAATTTTAGGCTAAGGAGACAGAAGTTCTTCCATCTCTCAAAGACCTTTACGAGAGGACCCACCGGAACAAGGCTGGGCAGTTTGTAGATCCTGTTTCCGAGCGGATCTACAACGAGGTTGTTGCCCTAGTTGACAAACGCCAGACCCAGCAGACTGGGGCTCCAGTCATATTATCCACTGTTGAAGTGGATAAGATTTACGAGGAGGTAAATAATTTGTTTTACTAATTAATTTTTAATAATTTTTCTTAATGTTATTAATATTTTTATTTACAGGTCGCCCCTAGGAAAAAGGGGTGTATCATCGGGATTGGCTCGGTTAACGATGTCCCTACAGCGACATCATCTTATCATCAGGAGCAGCACGATGTCAATGCTCAGCTACGCTCGCAGTTGTCTTCGCTCACCGAGCATGTGACTTCTCTCACCGATGTCCTCGACATTATGGCGGTTGGAAACCCGCAATTGGAGGAGATGTTGTGTTAGAGACGGGAACGCGGAGGGATTCCAACCCAACATCATCCACCATCACAGTCACAGCCGGCAACCAACTATGGAGAGGAGCAGGATTTGGCGAGTCAAGACGAGTTCGTTCGCCAATTTCACGACCAGCATCCGTAGTTTTTTTTTTATTTTTAATTGTATATTATGAATTTTAAAACTTTTTGTATATTATTTAGTTATTTATAAAAATTTTTATTTTTTATTTTTTATTTATACTTTGATTTTTTTTTATTTTTAAAAAATAAATTAATTCTATTTATAATTAATTTTTTTAATAGGGAAAATACCATTTCGAAGACAAAATCCTCGTAATGGTTTCCAAGTAATGTCCTCGTAAATAGTTCTAGTAATTTCCTCGTAAGCTATTACTACGAGCTTACGCGGAAAATCTTACTACGAGCTTACGAGGAAACGCTACGAGGAGCTTACGAGGAAAATCTAACCACGCCTTTACGAGGAAACTTTTCCTCGTAAATTCGCTAGGAGCTTACGAGGAAAAAGGGGTTACGATGAACGTGTTTCGAGGAAACGCGTTTCCTTGTTAGTTCCTAGTAAAAGGCCATTTACTAGGAAATAACGAGGAAAACCCGTCCTAGTAATGGACGAGTTTTCTTGTAGTGTGTCCAAGGAAAAAGAAAGTATCAGGAGGTATGAACATATGAACTATTTCTTACATTTAAATTTTTTTTGTCTTACTAATCTTGTATATTACTTTGCAGGTTCGTATGAGGCATATGATTATGAAGCCAATGGAGGATATATATCCGAAGTGGGACAATGCTAAGATCTTTACTGATCTGGACAACATGATAAAAGACATCCTCAATGGTCAGCTAAATGAGAAGTTTTGGGATGCAACGCCAACTACCAAATGCGAGAAGAGAAAATATGGTGTTGCAGCATCTGTTGTTCCAAACCATAGCCCTTCTATTAAGCGAAGAAAACACAAACAACCTGCTGATGGAGGTGAAATACCTGATATGGTATGTACAAAATGTTCCTGTAGTTAGTGATATAATTTTTTTTTAACTGACATGGTTTTGTTTTGTAACTGTTGTTCCAAACCAGAACCCTTCTACTAAGCGAAGAAAAGACAAACAACCTGCTGATGGAGGTGCATCACCTGATATGGTATGTACAAAATATTCATGTAGTTAGTGATAGAATTTTGTTTTTAACTGACATGGTTTTGTTTTGTCTATGCATATGAAGCTTGAAGCTTACAACGTTGCCATACATGGGTTAGTTGAGTCGATTAAAATCCTCGCTGCCAAAATAGAAGGCATCGATGTTAGTGTAGCTGAGTCATTAGAGGCTACTATTGACGCTAAGGTGGAAGCCAGAGTGTGAGTATATGATTATGACTTACGAAAGCAGATTGCAAAATTGGAGGCACAAATAAATGATATTTTAAACAGCAAGGATGCAAACATTTCTCCTGATGCGCCACCTCCAAGGCGTATGAGGTTGAGGATGATGGTGCTTCTAGCAATGACTTGGTACCATTCTATATCATTTCTTCTCTTTATTTTTCTAAATTATTTTTTTACTAATTCTCACTGTCTATTGCTCAGTCATGGATTGTTCAGAAGAAGATTAATTCACAAGATGGATTTCCAGTTGATTGTGTTGTGAAGAATGAGAAAAAAAGCTAAGAAGAAAATGGACAGCAGCCAGAATATTTTGAACAAGGCGGTGGAAAAGACCGAGAAGAAAGCTGAAATTCCACTAAGAAGAGTGAAGCAAGCGAAGGCCGTCAAGATCCCACAACTAAATGATGAATCCATATCATCAGAAGATTGTGAACATCATTCACTGTGGGAAAAGAGTGTAAACTGTAGGATGGTGTTGGCAGCATTTGTTTCAAACTTGGAGGAGCCTACACGCAAATGCAAGCCTCAGTTGACAAAGACTCAAGTTTGGCCGTATGTTAGAAATTCAAAAGAGAAGCGTATTATAACTGGTGATAAAGACTCGAAGGAACCTTATGATCCATTAGCTAAGGTGGAGGCAGAAAAACTGAAGAAAGTTTTGGATTTCATCAAGTCAGATTTGTAAGTTTCCTCTCATACATCGTTGCTTCTTATTTCAATATAGTCTAATAATATTTCTTTCTTCTTTTTAGGGAAGCAAAGGATCCTGGTTTTGGAGATGCAAGCGCTGGGTTTTTCTTGAAGTTAATAATACCTAGGGATGATTGGCCAACAAAATCCTACGGCTGGTTGCAAGACCTTGTAAGTTTAATTTCTGCTTTTTCATGACAAACTATTAAACTACGGCATGTTGCTGACTGTGAATTGTTTCATGTCTTAGCACATTGAAGCAGCAATGGTTATTTTTCACAGACGGTCCAGGCAAGAACAGTCTCCGTATTCCTCTTCTCGAATTGCATTCTTGTCTCACAAGTTTGTGAACTCATGGGTGAATGACTACAAGAACTGGGACCAGAACATGAATGAGTTGTCAGAAAAGTACAGCAAGGATTTTAATGGAGAACACCCGGCTGATTTTGTCACTGGTAAGAAGTGGATTGATGATGTCGACGATCTTTTCTTCTGCCTCCATGTTCACGGATATCACTGGGTTGCTCTACGCATCAATCTGAAGAAGAAGAAAATTCATGTCTATGATAGTATTTGCACACATTTGAGTGATAAGGAGATGAAAGAGGCGTGCTGGCCTTTCATGAGAATGATACCGGCAGTGCTTAACAAGATTCTGCCTGCTAAAACGAGGACGGAAAGTGAAAAATAGTTCAGTTATATTAGGCACAAGAAGATCCCTCAAAATGAGAACCCGGGAGATTGCGGTGTGTACTCTTTGATGTACATCGAATGCCTAGCTCTTGGACGTAACTTTGAGGGCTTGAATGATCAGATTATAACACAATTGCGATGGAAGTTGGCGGCTGATATTTATGAGGAGGTGACTAAGACAGCCGAGTAAATTAGTTTTCTGTTTGGTTTTTTGGTTACTGAATGACGGATGTATTAACTTGCTGTTTTTTTTGCTTTAGATGGATGTATTAACTTGCTGGTTTTTTGGCTTTAGACGGATGTATAACTTGCTGTTTTTTTTGGCTTATGAATGATAAATGTTTGGTTATGCATGTTTTACAATGAATGGTAAATGTTTAGTTATGCAGGTTTTATAAAGAATTCAGATGTATAGAATGTACAACTTAAGTTTCTGTTTTTTTTTTTGCTTATGAATGATGAATGTTTGGTTGTATCTATATGTTGATTTGGTTGATAACTACAAACGCATGTGTTTATAACTCACTTCTCGTGACGTGAAAATGTAATGAAGGAAAAATAAGTATACCAACAAATGTAGCACCAATCAAACTGAAATATAATGACCAAAACCTCAAACTAACTCATCACTTAAGAGGACATGTTGTAGAATTGTGCTCCACCTGGTAACAAATTCTACATGTGTATTCCTTTCTTCGCCGCTTCTTATCTGTAACTTCTCCAAAATCGATTTATGTCTTGATTTTTTTGGTCTTCCAGGTGGTTGGCAAGCATCAGGTGGTAAACAGATTTGCTTGGAAACTTTTTCTGAAATTGGAATAGCATCATCATTTGGCATAACAGGTAGCTTCTCTAAATCAAAGTGGTATACATGATATCTTTCTAGCATCCGCAGCAGCTATAGCATGAGCACATGGTAGCTTCTCTAAATCAAATCTACGGCAAGAACATGTTTTTCGGTAAGGTTTACAACATGTAGAGATGAGACTCCTATCACTTGTGACTGATGATTATCTATAGCTTGAACCTTTAAGATATTTTCAGTAGGTATACGGCCCTGTAAATGGTAATTTATTATACATTAGAAAACAGTCTACCAAAACGCAAAACATAAGCATACATATACTACCTCCAACAACTTCTCCACACCACGAGTCAGAGAAGTTTTCATCAAGTCAGTATCATATTTTCTTGTTACAAACCAACGTGTCATCATTAATCGGATTGACTCTAAAAGTCGAACAATTGGCAAGCCCTCTCGCATCTGACAAAGCTCTGTTTATGGATTCAGCTATGTTACTTGTAAGGAAGTTATATCTATCACCTCTAAAATGAGCTCGTGTCCACTTACGAACATCAGCACGCTCCGAATATGCATGTAAAGCTGGATTTAACACTTTAATCGCCTCGAAGGTTGCTTCATAGTCAGATACTCTAAAAGAATATGCGGCCTTTTTTTTTACCAATCCAAACCGATCACACCATCTGTACCGTAACAAGATGTTTTTATATAAGTGGTACGTGCAAATTCATGTGCTAGCCAATGGATAGACCACTGCAATAGCCTTCCTTATTGACTTGTGTCTGTCAGAAATTAACGCCAATCCTTCATCATCGGGTATCACACAGCTGAGTTGGCGGAAAAACAATGTCCATGATTCATCATTCTCTTTGTCAACCACCGCAAATGCTATCGGAAATATTTGAAATTACCATCTTGTGATGTTTCAATAAGCGTTCCTTTGTATTTTTCTTGCAAGAAAGTACCATCAACAACCACAACCTTCCTCATAAATGGGAAGCCAGTAATGCTAGCATTGAAAGAAAGGAATAAGTACTTAAATATATTGTTTGCATCAACTTCCAGTCAAGCTAAAGTCCCAGGATTTTCCATTTGAAGCCTCTGCAGGTAAGAAGGTAATTGCTCGTATCCACTCTCCGATGAACCCATTACGAGATCTCTAGCAATTTTAAGTGTACGATGAGCTTTCCAATAATCCATCTGAAAAACATAATAAATATCAACAAAGTTAAAAGCAAGTAATATCAGATTAGACAGTAGAATCGATGTTAAAAATGTAGTCAACTAACGTTGATTATGAAGCTCATGTTCATAGCACTAATAACATGACGTGGCAAAACATTTGGTTCAATCCCACCAATATAGTCTTTGTACAAGAGGCCAAGAATTTCAGGAGTAGCTTTTCGAGAACGAGCATAACACTCTGTTACAGAGCAGGAATGTTCAGCTACATGTACTCTGATTGTAAACTTAGAAGATCCATCAACTGGTGAAGCTATAAGCTCCCACGTACAACCTTTTACCCAAGATTTTACAAACCACAGCGTAGACGTAGATTTATCCACATCAAAATCGAAATGGTGGACAACTGAATAAACCTTCAGACGTGTCAGTAGTGCAACTTTTGAATCAGAACGCTGCCCCACGTCCATTTTGAAACTGATTTGACATATTATGCGTACAATCTTCTTTTTTGTGTCTTTAGAACTGAGGCATCACACGTCTTTGTAGGAGATTCTTCAACCTCTTCTACTTGGTCTTGCGGAAACCCATATGAAGTAAAGTTTCCATCTTCAGACGTTGCTCCATCAAAATCGTTGCAGTAATCAAAATGATCATTGTCTTCATCCGTATCTTCATCGTTTGTAGATAATGGATCATTGTTTTGCAGGGCTTCTTCCGGTTCTTCGCTGGATTTTTCAACATCATTTTTCTTCACTTTAAACTCTACACAGAATCTAACGTTTTCGACTTTGTGAAGACACAAAAATCCATGAAGCTGCATATCGTTTCTTACTTTCACAGGAGGAGTGTCGAGATTTTCTTTGACTAGCTTACGTTTCCGCAAAAGGTACGCTAGCTCCAACTCGTGTTCTGTGAAATCAACTCCTTAATCCTCATATATGATTTTCACAAAATCATCATATCTAGTCTCTTCATTGGCTGAAAGTAATTTACTACCTTGATCATTATCCAATTCGAATAACCATTTTTGTCTTTCAAATTTTCACTTTCCAGAGACAAGAATTATATGATTCATGTTTCTTCAAACAATAAGGACCGCAACAAGTGATTAAACAACCATGAAAAATACAACTTGAAAAGGAAGAAAAGAAAGATAAAAGAGATGATGACAACTGCCAAAATTTTACCTAATTAATAGTTTGATTAACCTAAAACTAAACCAAAAATGTCGGATCTTAACAACACCAACGTTGACCCCACCATTGTTTCAACTCCACTCAATACTGCAGTAACTGATGCTACCGTGACACCCCCAGGAAACATCACAGCGTCAACCGCTGCAACCATCACATCTACCTTACCAGTGGATAATGTTGCTGATGAAATCATGAGCCGTAACCTGTTTGGTGCTGGTCTTTATCAAACGGGTCCAATTTCAGGATCCACAAGTGCTCCGGCTGCAGTTGCGACTCTTCCGGCTGTTCCTGGTGTCATCTCTCAAGGATTGATGCCAGACAAATTTGATGGCAAAGGCTTCAAAACGTAACAAAAGAAGATGATGTTCTTCCTCGCAATGATGAAGTTGGATAAGTTCATCCAAGAGGATAAACCCATTATCCCTCATGGGATTGAGGATGTTCACAAATTTGTAAGTGTTGACATCTGGGTGCATTCTGAATTCATCTGCAAAGGCTATATTTTGGGTCGCTTCATTGACTCATTGTACCAAGTATACTATGATACCCCAACAACAAAAGAGCTCTGGATATCACTGGACGAGAAGTATGTAGTTGCAAAATTCCATGACTTCAAAATGGTGGATTCAAAACCCAACATGGATCAGGTGGAAGCGTTTCAGCTCATTTGCCATGAAATCGCTGCTGAAGGAATGTCCATCTGTGAGACATTCACAACTCTCAGCTTCATCCAAAAGCTTCCTCCACGATGTGTGGATTTCAAGAACTACTTAAAGCACAAGAAGAAGATGGGACTTGAGGATCTCATCCAGAGGCTTTAGATGGAATTTAGAAACCAAAAATGATGAGAAGCTGCTCAAGGGTAAAGAGAACAGTGTCAACGTGGCTGAAACGAAAGGTAAAGGGAAGGCAATTGCTAACTCTCCTGCCAAACCTTCCAAAATAGCTGTAAACTTAAAGGCTTATGGACCAAACTTCAAGAAGAAAGGCATTGAAATCAATGCGAATGTGGAGAAATTCAAGAGAAAATGTCACTACTGCCACAAAGTTGGTCACAAGACTGTTGAGTGTAGCAGCAAGATCAGAGATGAGAAAGCTCAGGCGAATCTCACTGAAGAAGATCTCGTTGTAGTGGTGACTGAAATCAACATGGTTGAAAGTAACAACCCTAAATAATGGTGGTATGGCACTGGTGCCACCACCCACATTTTCACTGATAGGGCGATGTTCAGCACCTATCAGAAAAGTAAGACTCGGGAGAAGTTGTTCATGGGGAACAAATCAGTCTCCAAGATTGAAGGGAACGGCAAAGTGATTCTGAAGATGACATCTGGACGTGAAGTCACTCTGCAGAATGTGAAGCATGTGCCTGACATGAGGAAGAACCTGGTTTCGGGAACCTTTCTTAGCAAGAATGGATTCACCACATCTCTTAAGACGGATAAGCTCGTGATTAGGAAGAATGGGATGTATTTGGGAAAGGGGTATGTTAAGGATGGACTGGTCAAAATGAATGTAATGACAGTCCTTCTAAAAGTCGTAGCTCCAAAAGTTTCAATGAATAAGAAAGAGCCGGTTGCTTATTTGGTTGAGTCTTTTAATATTTGGCATGAAAGATTAGGCCATGTGAACTACAAATCGATACAAAGATTAATGAACATAAATCTAATCCCAAAATGTAAAACAAGTAAAAAAAAATGTGAAGTATGCGTACATGCTAAGCTCACAAAAACACCCTCACCTCATGTTGAAAGAACTAACAAACCTCTAGATTTAATTCACACCGATTTATGTGATCTAAAATACATACAAACTAGAGGTGGTAAAAATTACTTTGTGACCTTCATAGATGACATCACAAATATTGTGATGTATACTTATTAAGTAGCAAAGATGAAACCTTAGAAAAATTTAGAGAATTTAAACTCGAGGTAGAAAATCAGCTTAAAACAACTATTAAGATAGTTAGAAGCGATAGAGGAGGCGAGTATGATGGACAATTCATTGAATTCTGTAAAGAACATGGAATAATTCATCAAACTACATCTCCTTACTCACCAGAATCTAATGGAGTTGCTGAACGCAAAAAT